TATAAAGAACATACGACCGGGCAGATATTACAAGGTAAATGTCGCGAAAAAAAAGTAATTATATATATACTTTTCTTTTACCTATAATACTTACATAAACTAACTGATAAACACATTAACCTTCTTTACATCACGCAATTAAGTGATAGTATAGGCTAAAAAATCTATTATAAGATATCAGTGACAACCCTAACAAGCCATCCCTATTTTGTCTTTTGGCGTTCCAATTTTGTGTTTTCTCGTCCCTAATTTATCCAGTCTCGTTCCCAATTACCCTACATACGTCCCAATTTTCCCCAAAAAGAAAGGAAAAAATATACATTTTTTATTTTGTCGAAATATTGTATTTAAAATAAGAATATTGCAGCTTACCGTTTGTTGTGGTATTTCCAGGTGTATTAAAAACTTATATAAACTGTGATCTTATTGAAAAAACAACGTTAATATTACTTTTTTTAAAAGTTCTTTAAGCTGTTTTAAAACGCACTTTTCAACCACTATTTTCAATTTAATTTGACGAATTTTTGGGACCAACTTAACTCATATTTAGTACTTCCATAGTTAACTTGGTTTTTGTTCTATACATTGATAAATATTAACATAAACAAAATTAAGTAGATTCCGTGCTACAGGTACTTTGAGAATCTTCCGCAGGTTTGTCCCAATTTACCCCAGGATCCCAATTTACCCCATGTCATGGTATGTAGATTAGTTTTAAATGTCAAGTCAATGCCAATGTCAAGTGAGTAGAAATTGTAGTTTCATTTTTCCGATACAGGAAAACCGAAGGTATCTCACTATAGGACCGAATCTTTATTTTTAACAAAGTCGAATTTATTGTTTAAATGGTCTTAGATATTATTTTGAAAAGTTAACCAAACGGAATAGAACGTGGATGATTTTTGGGATTTAATTAAATGAATTCAAATGGGAAGTGATGAGATGATTTTACCGAGACCCATTAGACTTTTTGGAAAAAAGTCACTGATTGTTTAATTTTTCACAACTTGTACACTTTTATAGACAGCAAGTGGTAAAGCTTTTACAACTAGCGTTCCCAACAAAAATTTAATGTCTGAGAATAAAGAACTACGAATATATTTTTATTTATAGTATTTTACGACATGTATTATAGTTAAATTAGAAGAAAGAAAGAAGAAAGAAATAACGGCAATTCTTATTGTAATATTAATTTTTTTATTGCTTAGAAGAGTGGACTAGCTCACAACCGACTTGGTGTTAAGTGGTTACAGAAGAACATTACAACGGCTGCACCACCCTTGAACCGAAACGCATTACTGCTTCACGGCAGGAATAGGTAGGGTGGTGGTACCTACCCGCGCGCACTTACAAGACGTCCTACCACCAGTAATTACGCAAATTATAATTTTGCGGGTTTGATTTTTACTACAAGATTTTATTAATCGTGGAAGTCACTTGTGAGCATGAGTTGGGTAGTTGCTGCCCTTAGGTCTCTTTTAGGTAAAATACTGTCTGAATTACTGATGTCTTGTGGATACCAGCGAAGATAAAACGTATGCCGACCTGGGGCCAAGACTAGCCCACTAAGCATGGACCTGGTTAGGTGTCTGAGAATCGACCTCCTGATATTTTGATAATCACTAGTTTTAAGATTAGTGAAACGGATATTATATAGATACTGTTACATAGTACTATAGTATTTGTGTTAATTAAACCGAGCTTTTTTCCCCCTAGCTATGCTGATACATGCTACACATATATAATATGTTATTGCTTAGATAATATGTGGACGAGCTCACTAGATATGTGTCGTTCGTTCAATTTTAGAGATTCAGATCAATACTGACCTATTGACAAAATGATCCGGTTCGTACGCCCCGTTCAGTCGAACGTTTAAATGAACTGTTATAGTTCGATTGTTTACGTAAGATCAAAACAATTCAAATGCGTTATGCGTCATTATGCGACAACAAACGACTAACCGAGACGGGCACGGGTCGAGACCCGGTAACCCGAAAGGACCCGAATGACTGTATGGTTATTTTCTTCTGATTCGTAGGTTTTGTTAAACGAGTCGATCTAGTGAACGACTCATATTTTTTGAAGTGACCCTATCGTTCGCGCGGATTTTGAGACCCGGGTCGTTTGATTCGTTCGTTCGCGAACGACACATATCTAGAGCTTACAGCCAACCTGGTGTTAAGTGGTTACTGGAGCCCATAAACATCTACAACGTAAATGCCGCCACCCACCTTGAGATATAAGCACTAAGATCTCAGTACAGTTAGGTACATCAGTATAAATTGGGCTTAATGTACTTATTCGTATTATTTCAGCTCTCCTTAGTTCTATTAAAAACCAAAGCCTTCGATATATGTAGTACTTATACAATAATTATTAGTATCATTCAAATAGACTCGTCTCGCCAGTGTAGCGTTCTTAATTCATATATTAGTGTGCAATATTTACTAGCAATCAATGTACTGGGTACTGGCATATAAATGTATGTATATCTGAAGTAGGTGACAATCGCGCTGTGCTCAATAAATATTAGTAATGTCTATTAGTTCTAATTAAAACCTTATCATTATAATTTTAAATAAAACTTCAATTGGATGCTCGATAAAACAAAGAAGCGACGTTTAAAGTTTATTTTATTCTAATTGCACTTTATTAAGTACTTCACTCAATACCATTTTGTTTCAAGTCTGTCACTGCTGTCAATGTCAGCGCGCTGCTATAGCATTCTATAGCAGACCCGAACCGCTTTTCAAAGAGATGAAACAGAGCAAGCGCGGAAAATAACAAATTAAAAAAGTAAACTTTCTTTATGATTTATAATAATATTATAATTCCGCTTAATTAAAGTTTGTATTGCAGCCCCAACAACAACAGGATTTTCTCCTGTGCTTTTTGTACTGGAAACACACAAAGTCCGAGATCAGAACAGTGGAACCCGTAGTGCAGTTTTAAACCAGGGCTCTAATACTCTTAATATATTAAACAGGTCAAACTCTTACGTCACATTCAGTGTTTGGAATAATTTAAAACACATAATTTAGGATAGTTCATACATAGCCTCAAATGTTCATGTCGGAATGGTTTATAATATTATCACGCTCATGGCCACTGTGAGCCCGCTTTTTTTCCCTACCTAAGCTGAAAGAGCTTACGGAGCTCAAACTGGGAGTGTTGCTAGCACTGGCCCTGCGAAGCACAAGCAACGTTCTCGATATCTAGAGTTTTACAAATGATCACGACACACAACACAGTTCGCAGGTCAACTATGATCAACTAAGCAAATAGGAACACCCTAAGACATTTTCTACTTGCAAATTTTATTTTATTCTATCCCACCGGGACTGTGTACATTTACAATGAGTCTCTGCGAACGATTGTATTGTACCTTAACTATACTGAGACCTTAGAACTTATATCCCGAGGTGGGTGTCGCATTTACGTTGTAGATGTCATGGGCTCCAGTATACCACGTAAGCAACAAAAAAAAAATCTCAGCCCAAATTCAACATACATATTATTATACCCAATTAAAACTAATTTTAACGGTTTAATTTGGTGGTTTTTTAATATCGTTAAATTGTTTCTGAGTTGGACTGGTCGATTCCGTGACCACGAAAATTGTAAAGCATTAGAAACTGACTTTTAAAAGGCGAGATTATGCGACTAAAAGTAGTTTTAACACGCGGAAATCAAATGAATATAATACATACTTAAATTAGTAGGTATATACATATCTACCTACTACATCATTCTGGTTGGGTACGGTCACTTGTCGATTGTCGTTTAATCTTATTTTAGTATCAATGAGGCGACCGTTATTGATTCAATCGAATAGTTTCGATCTGTGCATCGCAAAAACAAAATTCACAACATGCTGGTTCGTAATAAGTGTTGTGTACGATAAAAAAAATCCCTTGTGTCTTCATTAGTTCTAATAACCATTTTATGATTGTGAATCAGTTGTGGTCGTTCAAAAATTTATAAATAAAAATTATTACGTAATTACCTACATAGTACATATTCACTGAATGCAAGACAACATTATGAAAATTGAATAAACCCATCAATACCACAGATAACGTAATATATATTTTTTTATTTCCTAATATCTCGTCTACGATTGTAATTATTTGCAATTTTACTGTATTGCAAATCAGATGACGTTTTTTGTTTGAAACAAACAATAATACTGGCAACTAATAATTTTGCAGTGGTCATTAAAGAACGAATATGTGTCAGATTAATTGAATAAACTTTCGCATTGCATAACATTAATTATAGAATATATGTAATGAAGGGGATAAATTGAGTTTACCCTTTCCGTCTGCTTAATATTGCCACTTACAACACCGTTGTATAAATTTAACAAGTAAATTGCATTAAAGACATTTCCGTCAAGTCTTAATTGCCTCAAATCGCCTACGTACTTTAAATCTCTTGATTAAAATCCTAATTGTCTCCAACACGCATGGAGTTAATAAGTATGCCAACACGACACCGAACAGACAGGGTCCATCCGTTACAGACTAACAGTGTCACGAATGCAATACGAATCTTCTTGGCAGCCGCCGCCGCTGAGCGCCCAGTTCGAGCGAAATGCCGCACTTATTTTGGCCTGCCAATTTAAATACCTAACAACATATAGGTACATCTGTTACATTATAACTTTTCGGAGCTAACAGCTCGCATCACATTTGTATTAGTAACGCATTAAATATACGTTCAAAATGACGGGAGATTTGTGGCGATCAGTCTAACGTTGTTCGGCAGTGGACAGCGGTTTTGGAGGGAGCCGTACGTGTATATTGTGTGTCATTTGTGTGATAGTGTGACTTATCCTGATTGGATTCGATCATGGATTCGTGGGGCATTCTGAATGTGGACACCGCGACTATAGCGATAACCAGAGATGAGTTATCGTCGAGTTTTCGAAGGAGACAAATGACGGTAACATATCATTTTTAACGTTTTATAGATGAATAAAAGAATTGAAGATGGTGATGTAAATGAAAATTAATCAGTTTAAGTAATGGAGTCGTGTCTTTTCTACTAATGTATCTACCGTCCGACAGCGAGGTAGAATATTCGATTTTCCTCGTCGAATCCGTCGTTTGCGACGAAGGGCTCGACGAGCGAATTAACCCATAGACACAGCCCACTGAGTTTGTCGCCGAATCTTCTCAGTGGGTCGCGTTTCCGATCCGGTGGTAGATTCTGCGAAGCACTGCTCTTGCTAGGGCCAGTGTTAGCAACACTCTGGCTTGAGCCCCGTGAGCTCACCTACATGTTAGGGTGAAGCTGAAATGGCCCCTCAAGGCTATCAGCATAGGTAGAAAAAAAAGCATATTCGTAACTCTTCAGTGCGTTTGAGTCTCTTTTAATATCCCGTCACTCGGAGCTCTCTTCGAACGTGATTTAAGGGGATAAATCGCGATAGGCAGTCGGCATCAGTTCTGTTCCTAGAATTGTCAATGTCTACGGGAGATAGTGACTACCTACTTATTTACATTAATTGAATTGCATTAATTAATTGAATTAACATTATTTGAATATTAATTGAATTAAATGAATTGCAATCTTTAAAAAAAATTAAAAGCTGTAAATTTTTTTAGACACAAAAAAAACGATAAACTTTATGCTCCTTGTCACACATCTGTCAATTAACATCAATCAAAAATCTGTCAAATTGGTTGAACAGAATTCAGATAAAGCTTTTATTAGCTCGGTACCGTTTTGGGTATCGGAAATTTTGAACTTCATTTTTACCGATTACTATATTTCCGATTATTTTATATCTTGAAAATTTGTATACGCTGTTTGAATATACAATAATTTCATAACTTCACTCTAATATGCTGACTAGCATCAACAGTATAATTAAAAAAGATGAAATTATTTGTTACTTTATATGTGTATACGGTGACCATTCGTACTTTTTTTGGCGGGACATTACTGTTTTTGAAGATGCTATATTTTTTAAGGATGAATGTCCTGTATTTTATTTATTTTTACTTTTTTACTGCATGTAAAAATAAAGTAGGTATAAATGTTTAAGTAAATAATAATGATGTTCGCACTTAACTGTTTAGAAAAAAATATGTGTGTACATTTACTTTAGACAAACCTTTAGCGTATAACAAAACCGATTTACCGATAGATTAAGCTAATCGAGTTTTTTCATACAGAAATAATGGTCACTATATTTATATATCACTCCAGGAATGAAACGCGAAATGCGTTGCTATTACCATGAATAAACAGTCATCAATTATTCACAGCATAAACTACGTCATGTTCGAAAAAAAATGCCTGCGCGATTTAGATAATTTACCTACCGTCCTCCATTTTATTTTTTATTTTACGTAATACATATTTGACGTTTAGCAGATGTTGTCGTCTTCACGACCGAAACCATTTCCGACGGATTATTGTTTAATCAAACCGCTGTTTTTTTTTAGTTTGAGATTTATGTCGTTTTAAATCTCACCTTCTTGTCAGAGATATATTTCCGGGTAAGATCGTTAAGTTTTGTTGATTTAATCAGTTAAATACATATATTTTACAACTATCCTGTATTTCGATTAGGTACGTAGCCTACAGTTTTCGTGGTCGTTTTTACCTTAGTGTCTACCAAACTATACTAATTCACAACTAATATACTAATTCACCACTAATACACCACTATATTAATTCGTAAAATTTTGTATATTACAATAATTGTACACTGACCCTAGTATAATTTAACACAGTATAACTATACCTAAGACATCCGAGATTCTTTTGACAAAACAAAAAGCAAAAAAATAAAATCGAAACTTCACTCGTAGTATTTTCTTTGGTATTCGCGAGTATTAAAAATAAAGCAATTTTTACGGTTTAATCTCACGTTTATTATCTTAATTTGATTAGTCCTGACGGTAGTTGGCATGATATTCAAATGTCAAGGTATAACAATACCTCAGTCGTGTGTGTGACCACGAGAACTGTAAGATAATAGAAACTTCTGGAGCAGTGAAGCGGGAACAGTGAATAGAAAAAAAAGCTAGATTAAACCTTAAAGCTGGTTTTAACAAAGCTTAGGTACATTAAACTGACTCAGCTGACTGTTGCGCCAACGGTCGTGGGTTCGATTCTCGCATCGGGCAAACATTGTGTGATGAACAGGTTTTGGTCTGGATGTTTATTAACTATATATGTATATATTTAAAGATATATAAGTATGTTTATGTCTCTGGTACCCATAGCACAGAGAACCCTAAATTGGGGCCGGATAACAGTGCGTGATTAGTTCCCAGTTATTAGTAAATTATTATTATGATTATTACATTTGTAATCGGAATTATTAGGCACTTTTTAACACGTTACTTAATTGCGTCATTAACAATTGAAGAAATTCTTAACACTTTTCTGTAGAATCCCAAACCAATATTTACAAACATAAATCATGATTCACCTTGAATTCAAATTGTAATTGATGCATTCGATTTGTTGTTAAATTAAACCGTAATCTCAGTAAATAGTTGCTCTGATGCAGAGTCTGTTTATCAGCATTCTCTCTCATATTGCTGTTTCGAAATGTTTCCTTTGATCTTTATTTAAATGTTTTGTATTTAGTTTGAGGCTACGGTATTGTTTTAAGTAAACTTCGAAATACGATTAAGATACTTTTTTTTTTATAGCTTAGATGGATGGACGAGCTCACAGCCCACCTGGTGTTAGGTGGTTACTGGAGCCCATAGACATCTACAACGTAAATGCGCCACCCACCTCGAGATATAAGTTCTAAGATCTCAGTATAGTTACAACGGCTGCCCCACCCTTCAAACCGAAACGCATTACTGCTTCACGGCAGAAATAGGCAGGGCGGTGGTACCTACCCGTGCGGATTCCCAAGAGGTCCTACCACCAGTGATTACGCAAATTATAATTTTGCGGGTTTGATTTTGATTACACGATGTTATTCCTTCACCGTGGAAGTCAATTGTGAACATTTGTTGAGTACGTATTTCATTAGAAAAATTGGTACCCGCCTGCGAGATTCGAACACCGGTGCATCGCTACATACGAATGCACCGGACGTCTTATCCTTTAGGCCACGACGACTTCAACTTTTTCTTTTCGAGTTCCGATTCCGAGTCTCGATGCAGCGTTGAAACTAAACTTTTTTTATCGAAACGTCACTGGAACTAGGCATTTTTAGCGTTAGCATTAACGTGACGATGACATAAGCTAACCAAAAATCACGTCGGTTAGCTTATGTTGATCTCCTATATTTGTGTAACTTTTTACGAGAGACACAATGCCAAGAGAGTTCCAGGCGAACTTTTTATTTCGATGTTGTGGCGGGTAGCCATCATACAACGCAAGATAATTGACAGATGCCTGAATCTCACTTACGACATTTTCAAGATAAAGCGCATATATACAAGTTCCGAATAACAATATTCGGACCGTCGGTCTACCGAGCAATATCATCCGCTCGGTGGAAGATCCTCCCTCCGTCGTTAAGCCTCCCAAAATATAATCAATATGGAACGGTAGATAAAATCACGACTTACCTGGTAATATATTTTAAGGTAATTACCTTAAGATTTAAGATTTTAATAATAAGATTTTAATAATTTTAATAATTTATTATGTAAGTATTAATTAATAGAGAATATCGTAGTCTGGCGGGAGAGTGAATGGTGAGCAAACAACTAAAAATGAAGATCGAAGTTTCAAACAGAATAACGATTAATGTTGCCAATATTTTTCGGAGGACAGCAGCTGGGGTGTGTCCCTAACAATACTAATTTCCATCAGAGAACGACTAATTATTAGGGGGACACTGAGCTTCTTTGTCTATAATGGCAACAAAAAAAATTAACTACATATACATCTTTGATCTGACAGTATAACCATAGATAATATACCTAACTTTTTTTCCTTTCCTATGCCTTGAGAGGCTATTTCACGACGTGTAAGTGAGTTCATGAAGTTCTAACCCGGAGTGTCGCTAACACTGGCCCTAGCAAGAGCAGTGCTTCGCAGAATCTACCACTGGATCGGAAACGCGACCCACTGAGAAGATTCAGCGAGAAACTCAGTTGGCTGTGTCTATGGGTTAATTCACTCGTCGAGCCCTTCGTCGCAAGCGACGGGTTCGGCGAGGACGGCGACCTGTGCGTGTGGTATCATAAAGCACCGTTAATGGATCGGGAGGATCCGTAACGACGTGTTTAGGGCGACGTGACTGTTTACGGCCTGTTATGGCGGCCACGTCAAGAGGGTTTTCATGTCGTACCGCCTTTTCAAAGTGGCACAATGATACCGACTGTAGATACTTACTGAGTTAAGCTCCAGATCATCATGGAGATCGACGTTCCTTAGGAACCATGGTGCTCCAACGGCTATCCTGCAAAAACGGGATTGAATGACTTGAAGGGGTTTCAAGTTGGTGCGAGCCGCGTGAGCGAACACTACGTTTGCATATGTCGTGACGGGGCGTATGTCAGTTTTGTAGACCTTGTCATCTTATTTCGAAGGGACAATTAACTTCGCTTTGTACCTAATATTAGCACAAATTGACACAACAAACTGTCACCTATCAATAACAAAACGTCAAATGAATTATAATTTTTTTTAAAGTTTTTATTTTATGGATGATTCGCATCCCTCTAAAATCTCTGCGGCACATTGAAAATACACGCGGGAGATATAAGCATAAAAGCTTATAGTAATGTCAGTACCTAATTGGCGGGAAAACCAATTTACAAAATTATTGTATTCTAATGAACAGATTTTATGTCAATGAATCTTTATTTATGTACGCAACTAGACTAAGAGATAATTGACCTATTCCACGGTTTTATAATTCCGCTTAATATTTTCGTTTTATCATTTCAATACTCTACAGTCTCAATTGATAGCATTTTTGTAGAGAAAAACTATTTTGCCTCGATTAT